CTCTATACTGTTCATCAGTTTCCTTGTCTCTATGTTTGTTAATAGGCATTTCTCTTGTAATGTGGTATCCTATTCAAAGGGAACAGAAATGACAGAGGTTACACTCCTATTCAGTTTCCTCCTAAAGTGACTTGGTGGTTACATTGTAATATGCATATCAGGAAATAAATGTGAGGAGCAGCAGAATTGTATGAATATACTGTCAATGAAGTATACATTTATAATGTTCTCAGTAACATGCTTTCTGCTGTATATATGTATGGGATCTTTTAGAATTCAGTGACCTATGATGATGTGCATATCAACTTCACTTGGGAAGAGTGGAGCTTGCTGGACCCTTCCCAGAAGAATCTCTACAAAGATGTGATCATTGAGACCTGCAGGAACCTCACTATTATAGGTAAGACAGTGTATTTTCCTTCACATTTTAAAATAAGGGGACAAGTGTTTCTTGGTTTTGGATGTTCCTGTGTAATTTGATTGAGAAAGAAGAGTGAGGTGAATAAACCAGGCATGTTTCGAAGATTCACTGAAGATAGGAACATAAATTTTAAAATGCTTTCAATAATATAAATTTTCTGTTTATATTATATGCTGGAGGGCTTCTCTCCAGGTTCTATGAAGCCCTGCAGTCCAACAATTTATGGATAAAATAATCACCCAGACGCTTATATTACTTATAAACTGTATGGCCTTGGCAGGCTTTTTGCTAACTGCTCTTATATCTTAAATTAACCCATTTTTATAAATCTATACCTTGCCATGTGGCTGGTGGCTTACCAGCATCTTTATATGTTGTTTGTCCTGGCGGTGGCTGCAGTGTCTCTCCCTCCTTCTTCCTGTTTCCCAAATTTCCTCTCTCCTTGTCCCACCTATACTTCCTGACTGGTCACTGACCATCAGTGTTTTATTTATATCGAGCGATATCCACAGCACTTCTGGAAATTTTAAACAAAATCAACAGTGTAAATAAGTACCACTTAGAGTACATTTATGATTATTAAATTCTCACAAAAACAAACCTCATTTTCAGGTTGGTGAATTACATTTGCAAGGCATTCTTTTAAGAACAATGTCAAAGAAACAATTCCTCAAAAGAGATCACCATTAAAATCAAAACACAATGAGAGTTATGCTGTAGAACTGTCATTCTATTTATTTCATAACATTCATATTACAAAAGTTACACACAGTGAAGAGGTGATGAGTATATTGTCAAAGCTTTCTATTAAACGAGTAGTCCATAGTAAATCCACTGTAACTCATATACTTGTTGTGACTCTGCTGTTTAGTGACTGGACCAGTTAGAGTCAATAGTCAAGGGATGTTGTGGAAGAGAAATCTTAATCCCTATACCACAAGTCACTGAGGACAGAAAACCAAACAGAATTAAATGTGGAAATCTATTATCTGTTATTCTTTCTTTACCAGCTATATCATATGTCCTTCTGGAAACAAGCCATATGAGCATAGGGATATGGAAGACATAACATACCCTATTCATATAATATCAGAAGAAATGTAGCAGTCTCCACTTTGAGTATAATTGGTGAATTTGATTCAAGTATACAAGTAATTGATTTTCTATCTTCATTGTTAATATTAACAAACTCACACAACAGAGAAGCCCTATGAGTACTAGGACTGCTTAAATAAAACATAGGTGTAAAAAAACCCAATGAAATCTTAAGAACTAATTCCTCTTTAAAATTAGACAAAATTGTAAATTTAATTCATACAGATATAAAGAGTCAATAGTGTAATGATTATGGTAAAGATTTCACATGTGCTTGCAGGCATGAAAGAAGTCAAACTGTAGAGAAGAAATCTTAAATATATACTGACTGTGGTAAAACCATTGTATATGAGAGTCCTATTCAAAAGCATGAAAGTACACCTATGGGAAATAAACGTTTTCAATGTAATCAGTGTGTTAAAGCCTTTGCACATCGCAGTAATCTTCAAAGGCATTAAACAAAACCATACTGGAGGGAAACCCTATGAATGTAATCAATGTGGTAAAGCCTTTGAACGACATGATAATCTTCAAAATCATAAAAGAACACATACTGGAGAGAAAACCTATGAATGTAATCAATGTGTTAAAGACTTTGTCCAACACAGTACTCTTCAAAAGCATGAAAGAACACATAATGGTGCAAAAAAACTCTGAATGTAATCAGTGTGATAAAGCCTTTGCCAAACACAGTTCTCTTCACATACATAAAAGAACACATACTGTAGAGAAACCCTATGAATGTATTGAATGTGGTAAAGCCTATGGAAAACATTGTCAGCTACAAATTCATTTAAGAACACGTACTGAAGATAAAACTAATGAATGTAATCAATGTGCTGAAGCCTTTGCATATCACCAAACTCTTCAAATGCATGAAAGAACACATCCTGGAAATAAACCCTATGAATATAATCAATGTGGTAAAGCCTTTGTACATCACAAACATATTCAAGTACTTAAAAGAAGTCATACTGGAGAGAAACCCTATGAATGCAATCAGTGTGGCAAAGCCTTTGCACAACATGCTCATCTTCAAAGTTATAAATGAACATATACAGGATAGAAAAACCTATGAATGTAAGGAATGTGATAAAGCTTTTGCACGATTGAGTCATTTTTAAAGGCATAAAAGATCTCATACTGGTGAGAATGTCCTATGAATGTAATCAGTTTGGTAAAGCCTTTGTACATCATGGTTATCTTCAATGTCATAAAAGAACACATACTGGAGAGAAACCCTACGAATGTAATCAGTGTGGTAAAGCCTTTGTACAATACAGTAATTGTCAGTGTCATAAAAGAACACATACTGGAGAGAAACCCTATAAATGTAATCAATGTGGTAAAGCTTTTGCATGATTGAGTCATCTTCAAAGGCACCCAAGAACTCATACTGGTGAGAAGCCCTATGAATGTAATCAGTGTGGCAAAGCCTTTGCACAACACGGTCATCTTCAAGTACATGAAAGAACACATAGAAAAGAGAAACCCTATGAATGTAATCAATGTGCTAAAGCCTTTGCATATCACCAACATCTTCAAATGCATGAAAGAACACATACTGGAATAAACCCTATGAATGTAATCAATGTGGTAAAGCTATGAACATCACAAACATCTTCAAATACATAAAAGAAGTCATACTGGAGAGAAACCGTATGAATGCAATCAGTGTGTTAAAGTCTTTGTACAATATGGTCATCTTCAGTGTCATAAAAGAACACATACTGGAGAGAAACCTTATGAATGTAATCAATGTGGTAAAGCCTTTGCACATCACCAAACTCTTCAAATGCTTTAAAGAATACATACAGGAGATAATCTCTGTGAATGTAATCAATGTGTTAAGGCCTATGCTCATCACAGTACTCTTCAAATCCATAAAAGAAGACATCCTGGAGAGAAACCCTATGAATGTAATCAATGTGGTAAAGTCTATGCTCATAAAACTACTCTTCAAATACATAAAAGAAGGAATGCTGGAGCAAAAGCCTATGACCATAATTAACTTGGTAAAGCTTTTCGTCATCACAGTCATCTTCAAATGCATGAAATATCAGATACTAGAGAAAAATACCATGAATCTAATCAATGTGGTGAGGACTTTCTTCACACACAGTGCTGTTCAAATGCATGAAACAACACCTACTGGAGAGAAACCCTATGAATGTATTTTGTGTGATAAAGCCTTTGTATGTATCAGTAGTCTTTGAAATCATTAGAAAAAATCATACTGCAAAGAAATCGTACAAATATAATCATTGTCATGCAGTTTTGCTCCTTATACACGAATAAACCTTTTTCTGTGAAGTCAGTCTCTTAAAGCCTTTGCATATTACAATAGTCTTTGAGTACCTGCAAAAAGTGCTGAGGGTTTATTTTTATAAAGTATTTGGCAAGATCCTTTTCCAAAACATTTGCATTCAGTTACACAATGGTGTTCATTCTGTAAAAAAACAATTTGACCATGTCATCCATTCTTCC